ACAGTCATTAGCTGTGAGCGTTTGTGTTTTTTCCTGTGCCTGCCTGGTGTTTATGTGTGTGAGGGAGCGGAGCAGGGGCAGGGGCGGTCAGACGCGGGGGTGGGCCTCGGGGTCAGTACCCTGACGTGTTACCTCACAGTTTCTCAACCTCACAAAACATCAGTGCCCTCTTTTTTAAAAGCCCCCAAAATAGAGCCGGACTGCATTCCTGCCCCTCTCCCCTGAGACGTCCACAACAGACACAACAGTGTTTTAACTGAGCACTGACAGAAGAGGACTGTCAGCACCTTATCACTGCTCTGTGTGTGTGTGTGTCAGTGCAGGTGAACAGTGAAGGCTGCAACACAGCTCCCAACATACACGTTTCCTGTCTACTGAAAGTAACAAGCTAAAAGTTAGCAAAGAGGACTCAGCGTTAACTTAAAGTTTCAAAAACTTTCCTAAATGTTAGGGTTAGAAGTTATTTAAAAATTGTTGAAAAAAGATATTATACAAAATATCATGGCGACGGCTGCCTCAGCGACCCGGCAACAGATAAGTGGATGAAAATGGATGGATGGATAAATGATTAAATTATTATTTTTAAACCTTTTCAAAACACACCTTTTAGGAAAATGCTAATAGTTAGCAATGAGATGAATTTAGCTAAAGGTTATGGCAATAGAAAATGAAGCTAATAGATAATAATGATAAATAAATGCAGTAGAATAGAGTAACTAATTCCACCTTCATCATACGATGGTATTTTTATTATTTTAGTACACGCCTTTTTTTAATCATGATCTGAAAATAGCACCTTTCAGTGAAACTCGGCGGCGAGCTTCAGCCATGACAGGTCACGTTCATCAAAACAAACACGTGGTTCAGAGGAACTTGCCTGAAAATCATTCACCAACTTCCTGCGTCTTTGTTTGCCTTGGATTTCCACTCTGTTCGTGCATTTGTGAAACATATTTGATGATCTGTAGTTGGCGTCGGACGCCGGCCTTGACAAATTGTCTCCCCTTGATGTGGACGTCTCCTCCTGTAGAAGGCTGGAATAATGAAGGAGTGGCTGCAGCTGGAGGATCACGGCCGACTCCTGGGTTTTGCGTGTTGTTTGTTGCTCGATGCATCAAACCAGTGTTGGTACAAATTATCTCAACCAGACAAACAGTGGATTCATGTAATTGTAGTTGTTGTACGAGGAGCGAGGATTAAACCTCACACATGCTGTTTAATCCAACAACTGTCGGACTCTCAGGTCGTAACAAACCTTGACTAACTGAGGGAAGATGACAGAGACGGCGTCATCACAAACCAATGAATAACGCAGCAACTGAAGCTCTTTAAATTCTGTTTATATTAAAGGAGACGAGGTGGTTCCAGGTACTTTGTTTTTTTGTCGGCACAGCCAGTTGAAACAAAATCCTGGAGTGTTTCTTTGTCAGTCTGAGCATGGTGTACCAACGGTTACTTCTTTTGCCTTACAGCAAGGAGGTCACTAGTTCAAAATCCAAGTTCATCTGAAATAATTTTACTTTTCTTTTTTTCACTTTACCTGTTTTGCTTTTCTGTCCTTTTACTTCAGTGACTGTTCTTTTTTTCACTTTACCTGTCTTTCTTTTGCTTTTCTGTCCTTTTACTTCAGTACAGTTTCATTTGTTGTCTGCGTTACTGTTTTAGCCTCAGATTTTCAAACCACAGCGTTTGGGGAAAAAAAGGCTTTTCTCCAAATTTTATGAGTTTGTCCCACAAGCGACAGGCCACACAAGCCATTTTCACACAGCCCACATTAGGTCAACCATGTGGCCAACACCTAGTATTTCATTTTTAGTGGAAGTCGTTTCTTTTTTGTAGAGCTGCTCCTTGGCACAACATTACACACACTGAACTCTTCTTTAAACGTGAGAAAATATAAACAAGGAGAAGCCGTATAGAACAGCAGTTGATAAATATATTCAAAAGAAACTGAAACAAGAATTAGAGCTCAAATCTGACAAATCTGTGTCACTCCGATGGTAATATTATCTTGTCATCTGGTGATTGATCGATCCTCCGTCACCACAGTGATTCCTAGAAGTGGATCTCTTAGAGTGTCTCTTCCTCTCCACTCAGAATGTCCTTGGCAAAAACATCAGAATGTCCATAAAGTGGTGATGAAAAAAATACCTATTGCATGACTTCCTGTTTTTATCGAACGACTGAAATTACATCACGTCCACAAAGAGATAAATTCAGTCTTGTCAAATATCGGCATGAGGGGAAACATCTTGTGCAAATGGACAAATGAGCTGAAACACATATGTTGTGATTCATCTTCCTACTTTTATGACGGACCTGAATGGTGTGTCTGTTGCTGCAGGTCTGTGTTTGCTGCTTGATTTTTTTTTTTGCAGACATTTCTAACTTCACTTCTCTGTGTTTTCATCTGAATGATCAGAGGGATTTATCTCTTTTTGTTCTCCAGCTTATGCTTGAAATTCTGGACCATCCCTTGTGAGGCTGATACTCTTGGGAACTGACATGAAGTTCCAGCAGATGATGACGGCGTCGCTCAGACCCTCTGACTATGCCTTTGTCCCTGGTACTCGCTGTCTTCATCACAGTCTTTGAGCCTGTACCTGATCATTTCACTTCTGTGTGGATCAGAGAACATTAGTGTGGTCATCAGTGGAAAAGTCCAGGGTCAAACACATAAGTTAATGTTTTACAAATTGTATGATTAAACCAAAATCACACACAGCTAAAAGTTAATTGAAGAATTGAACGTAAAAGCTAAAAGTTAATTGAAGAATTGAACGTGTGTCCGTTGTCCAGTTCAGTTCAGTTGAAAGTGATCGAGAATCCATTCAAGTCTGAAAAGCCAGTCCTTTTCAGCATGTAGTCCACCACGTCATGGTCCTTAAGTTAGCCAAAAAATGATGATGATGATGGAAAATGAAATGATGAAAAGTGCTTGTAGTTGGACAACCGATTAATGTCAGTTTAGTTTTGTCTAGGAATATGTAGGAGTTAACTGAAGAAGACAAATATCTTTCGTTGTAGTATTTTCTACACTGGTCATCACCTGTCTCTTAGATCCAAGGTTGAACTTTATTCATAAAGTCCGCTGTAAGTCAGTCAACAAACAAACAAACAAATCCGTGACTCAGGTTGGACAGGTCTGGTTACACTTCTCTCTGTGGTAACACCAACATTTCTGGGTTTTCTTTGTCTTTTGGTGCAGAGGTGCAGACGGAGTGTGTCGTCTGTGAAAGCTGTTCCGTGAAGTGTCTTGACTTTGACACAGCTCAGCTCCACTATCGTCTCTCCACACTGTTTTGCAGTGAAAACTCACTCCTGGACTGGAGCCACGGTGAGACGCGTCAGTGTTGTTGCTGAATGATCGACTTCTTTCTGGTTACAATTACATGATTTATCATCTGGCTGCTCCTCAGCTCCGTTTCTGGGGTTTCTTTTCTTCTTCCTCACACCAGTCACTGTGGAACTGTTGGTGTCAAATACTTTGATTCTTTTGAGCTGTTGGTTATCGAACTCTTATATGATGGCAGGACCAAGAGGAAGCAAAATGTTCAGAACTGAAATGTGTTTTCAATAAAAAGATGAAGCCTTAATGAACATTTTAGCACCAAAGATTAAATCTGTTCATTTGACACATAGTTAAAAGAAAGATATTATGAAAAAACAGTTAATATTATTGGCTAAAAGTTAGCTTGGAAATAGCTAAACATTGATCTAAGTTTTTAAAATCAGGCAAAACAAAATGTTTTTTTTCTTTGCTAACAATAAGACAGTCAGTCAGGAAAAGGAGGTTCCATTTTCCTTCAGTCAAATATATTGATTGAACAGAACGTCTAAAGATGAAACAGACTCTACTGTGTCTGTTCTGTTGAGTCAGTGTCCAGCCTCCACTCCCTCCAGTCGCCCACTGACCACAGACCAGTGATGTAGTTCAGCTCTTCCTGACCAGTGCCAGAGAGCAGCGTACTTGAGCAGCGATAAGACATACTTCCCCCACTATCAGATTTAGCCCTAATTGCACTGAGGTTATTATTACGTCTGCTTGGTCAGTGCATACCACTGCTGATGTACCACAGCAGCTCTGCCCCAGATCTGATGTGAAGCAGACAGACAGATATCTCACGTACCTTCACTGTTATACCTCGTAGCTGCAGCGTATTCCTCCCCCTGATGTCAACATCCAGACCTCGGCCTGGATCTGTCCATTAGGATTGAAATTGTCTGGGAAAAAGAAGCACAAGATGCTGTGACTGAAAAGTAGGTGTAATCCCCTGAAGCGCTCTGAAGTGAAGTCAAATAATGGGCCCATAATGCATCACAGAAGCCGCAGGAATTCACTGCAGCGCTGGCCAGACTGGACAACTATGTCTTTGATGCTGGGACTGTGTCTCCCAGAAGAATGAAAGTACCAGGCACACAGGCGCAGCCGGCACCTCCACCTCCACCGGCCGACTTCCTCTTCACAGAGGATCACTTACCGTTTCATTAAATGACTGAAGTTTTCTCTCTGTTTCAGTGAATTTGACCAGAATAATTCAATGATTCATAAGTGAACAGAAAAGGACGGAGAAACGATGATGCCTCACCGTCATAGGAAAAAAAGGCCAGAGATTTGTTTGTGTTAATGAAAATAAGTCAGTGATTGAACCATTGGAGCTCGTCTTGTGTAGATGTTTGTGGGGTCTGTTTCTGTGGGACAGAGTAGGCATATTTTTTAACTGACATTGTATTAAATTTATGGGCTTCACGAAGCTGTTGTCACTATGAAGAAGACCCAGAATTCTTGGGAGTTTTCTGATTAGGTGCATATTTACCTAAAGCTTAACAGTGGGGTTCGAAAAGTTTCATTTTGTCAATTTATTTAATATTCATCATCAGTATTTGATGTCAATTTCGCAAAGACAGAGAGGACAAACTCCTCAGAGGGTGAACATTTGAAAGAAATTGGATTTCTGTCCTTAGTCGAAGATGCCAAAAGAAGGAACTCTGTGATGGAAACAACAGGGCAGAGGAGATGGAGAGGGAAAGCTTTCTCTGGACTTTAAGGATGTAAAGATCAAGGCAGGACTGATGACAGACGGAGTCACAGAGTCCATGCTGAGTGATGAGGTGAACCAGCGATGATTAGGAAAAAGAACTTTGGACTTTTTGGACAATTTTAAAAGAAAACACCAGGAGGTTTGAAGGATTGAGGAGCAGTGCAGTCGTACTTACTTTGGAAATACAACCGTAACGTGCACAGCTGCAGTGACTCCAGTGAGAGCAGCTGTGGGACCAACCGAACCTTTTATTATGCCTCATAACTGTTGTCTTTGCGAAAAGACTTTCAAAACTGATAATAGAAACACGTAAGGTTTTTCCACCAGCACATGGAACCAAATGTCCAGGTTCACCATTGTCTCCGACGGAGGCCACGGTGGACGCAGCGTCCAACTACCTGTCACATGTCAGGGGCCGTAATGAGTCCTGCGTGTGGAAACACCAGCATCATCTTGTGTTCATTCCCCAGGACAGTTGTGGGATAACTGCAAACATCTGCGGCGGCTCGTACTGTTAACATGTGACACTGTCTGATAGGAAGACGAGTGATATCAGATTGATTCACATCAAATCAATCTGGATTATTACTCTGCTCCTCACACCAAAGGATTAATTCTGGTGACTGCGTGTCATTCCAGTGAGTTCAGTGGTTTGTTTTGTTTCTCAGATCCGTTCAGTGTCTCCTCGTCTGTCTTCCGTCTTCCGTCTCCTTGCTGCAGCTTCTGACCGGCCTCTGGAGGAACACAGGGCACCTCTCAGTGTGAAGACGTTACATAACTGGGCTTTTTTTTCCCTGTGTGGAAACTAATTTTTGGCCAATTTGCAGATCATTAGCTCCTCAAACAAATTCCACTTCCCTGCTGCATCTCAAGGTCGGACAGCTTCACTGTGACCTTATCCACGTCTGCATTTTTTAAAACGTTTTTTTCTAATGTTGTCACAGCTTTCATGATCCCCATGAACAACACTCTTCAGCTTTGTTTGCCTTTCACATTCCTGGTGCAAAGTGTTTTCTTCCAGTGTTCCCAGTGTTCCCAACGTAAAGTGTCTTCACATCTGGCTGTTGTTGATGCCACCGTTGTGTTCATTTTTGTCTTTATGACCGGAGCACTTTGTGCTCAAATTCTTGAAGTGGTAATGAGCTGCAAATTGTAAGATTAGGCTTATTTTCCACAGTAAGTATACGTTGGTCGGCCCCGTCTGTCACAATTCACTTTTACTGCACCGACCAGTACAGAGTCCTCTCTGTGCATCTGCAGTTACAGGGTTTTATGGAATCATTCTGTCCTCTATTATCCTACAGTTTTTGTCATATAAATTTCAGAGGTCCATGTGGGTTTACAACGTGTAAATGTTGCTTAGCATAGAAGCATAAATTACATAAATTACAGTTAGCTTAGTGTCCTGCCATCTTCAGAATATTTTTTAGTTTCCTTCATTTTGGGTGAACTTTTTTTTATATTTAAATATTTCTTGGATGATTTCAGGGATATCTTTTGCCTAACTTTATCCATGTTTATTTGTTTGCAGGAACTGGAACTTCCTGATGTCTCCACCTGAGTCCATCTGGTCTGAAGATGTGTTGAATTTTACTACTGGTGAAGCGTGACTTCATTATTCACTCACATTACAGTGGTCGCTGTTGTTTGACTGAACAGATGCTGTTGTTTCTAATGGAGTTGTTAGTTTAAACCTCATCCAGAGTTCGTGCTTGATCCTAGATGAAGAAAGGAACGCTCGGTGGTTCGGCAGCGCAGCAGTGGAGACCATTACACTTTTGGAAACACGTAACACATTTCGTCTGATCCTGGTCCTGGTCCTGCACTCACTCCATACAGGATGTCGGATTTCTTTTTGTCATCGAGCTCCATCTGGCAGACGGACTCCTGTGAAAAAAACAGCTGCAGGTAAAATGGCACAGAGAAGTACGGAGCAGAAAATGATGGCAAGAAGGCAAACGGACAAAGTATGGAAAATGTAGACGTTGTATGATGTAACAGATGTATTTGGCTCCAGGTTGTGAGGGTCATAAATTATTGAGGCTTAAATCTTTAGTGCTCTGTGAAGAATAATTCCTCCAACTAACCCCTCAATTTGTCCTAAAATTGAAAATGCTTTTACTGTGACAGTTGACAGACGGTGTTGATGTTGGCCTTGGTGTCAGTTAACAAGGTTCTGTATGGTTATATATGACTCACTGTGGCTGTTTAAATTGAAAACATGAATGTATGAAATCAGTGCACTTGCAGGTAAACACATCAGCACATTTAAATATTCCCATAAATCGATGTTATAATATTTTTGCTGGACAGGGTTTAAATTAAACTCTACTTATTTTATGTCTACATTAAATACTGATAGACACCAGTGGAAGATGCAACAGGACATCACTGCTAACGGTGAGAGACGAAAACCAAGTGGCTCCGTCCTGGTGCCCCGGGCTGGAAGCAGGACAGACGGTGACACCGTGCTTCAGGTCAGTTTGTGTCTACACTGGTCCAACAGTCCATGAATGCAACACACCTACATACAAAACCACCTTTAGCATCTTCACTACCTGCACGCCTACAGCAGATCTCCACACTGAGATAACTGCCACAGGCTGCTGCGGCGTCTCTCAGAGCTGGGTTTGTCTCCCGGGGCGGTGGGTGGTCAGGGCAGAGTGGACTCTCAGTGCTGCAGGTTTGGCATCGCATGAAAGAAAGTAGAGCCAAGCAGCACCGGCGAAGATAATGTGACGGTGTGTGTGTGTGTGTGTCCATACAGCCTATAAAGGTCGTTAGGTCAAACCAGTGGTTGGTGTTTGATCCGTCAGGTCCTGGTGTGATCTGGTTGTTTGGTCATCGATGGTTGTGAAGGAACTTGAACGTTTGTCTGGTGTTTACAGATTCCATCTTGTCACTGTTGAGTATTATTATTTTGTCAATCGTTGCCAGGCTCTGGGCAACGTTTTAGTGTATGATACATATGTTGTTCTGCTGTGGTACAGTGTACTGTACTGTACCTTCTCTCCTGGAGTTCCCTGCTGAGTGAGAATAAGATGTAGATGTTGGCCGCACTCTTATTGCCCTTCCACCATGTTTGCTCCACTTTCCACTCCATGCACTTGGCCGCCCGTCGCTGACGAGCGGATGGAAAGGTCGACACTTTCTGACTCTTGAGATTGTCAGCGACTGTCACAAAGGAGAGAAAACAAGGTCTGGATTTATTTTATTATTTTTTTTAACACTCTCTGAGCCCCAGAACGTGGCTCCACTTACTGTCAGGGGGATTTATTTGACGTTGTTTGATGAATTCAGTGAAGATTAGAATGGCCTCATACAGAGTGGAGGGAGGAGACCACTAACAGAAGAGCCTGATCAAAGGGGTGAGGAGAGAAGAGGAGGACGCTTCGCTTCCGCTCGATCTCAGTCCAGGAAGGTTAGACTTTGGAGGACGCTGCCAAATGGATAAACATGTGTTACCATGGCAACTAGAGCGGATTCTCCTCCGCAGGTCCCAGTGTTTCTGGGACGCTCAAGTCATTTCTCATATGGTGGGAGAACAGGGAGTGTGTAGGAGTTTAGTCCCGGTGTGTTTCGTCTCCTGCAGCTTCATCGCAGCGTTTGACACATCCATCTGCTCACAGCAGGGGGTTTGGAGACACGTATGCATTTTAATATTTTTAAAAATCTGACCTCCTCTAATGACACAACAATATGTGACGGTCAGTTAGAATCTTCCTTGACCTAAAAAAAGGAAATAGTTTTTGCAGCACTAGCACAAAAGAAGTTAAATCTTAGCAACTAACAATAATTAAGATTAAAAAAATGTATAAATAATTAAAAATAGTGGTTAAAAAGATGGATGCAAATTTAATGTGTGAATTATAGTGTTCTGACGTTCATGATTGTCGAGGGTAACGGGCGGGGGTCAACAATGAGCCCATCAACAAAGGGCTTTCTGAAGGAAAAGTTTGGGAACCTCTGTGTTCTGTCCAGGAAATTATTGAAAAAATACTGGTGCCGTTAAACGTTTTGTAATGTTTTTAATTCTGGGAAGGAAATTTAAAAAAGAAGAAGAAGCTGGTTTTAGGGTATTTGAAAAAAAAGAAAAAACAATGAAGGAAAACAGACGGAATATTTGGCAAATGTCGCCGACGCTGTCAACAGCTGCCAGGCAGCAAAATACAAGCAGTGGATTTACACACTCAGATCGTTTTTATTGTCAGTTTCCTTGTTATGACCAAAGTCAGAAGTTTGGAAGAGAAGCTGGCTCGGAGATGTCTGCTGTTATGGCTGTAAAAAAACAGGACTTTTCTATAGCTTTTGACCCATTTTGTCTGTATTTCAAACCGTTTTTGTCACAAACACAAACACATTTGCTTTAATAACTGATCTTTTTGACTGACACTGTGTGAGTGTCAGTGAAACAAACAAAAAATATCCATTTTATGCTCTCAAAAAAAATTAGTGTTTGTGAAACATTTACATTTGTAAAACCGTCAGAACAGACCGGGTAGAAATAACCAGACAAAAAAAATCCATTTTATACTTTTTTTTTGTAGAAAACAGTCAGAACAGACCGGGTAGAAATAACCAAAATAAAGTGCAGAAAAGGACATGATCAGTAGGTGTAAGTGATTCAGAAAACAAAAATCATTTAAATTTAAAAGTAAGTTTTGTTTATGTGAGTGGATCGAGGATCGCCAAACATCTGGTCATTTTTCTATTCTTTGGTTAAGTGTTTTTTTTTCCAACGCAGGTAAAAGTGGTAGTAATCAGCTGGCTTTAAAATTAGTTAAATTTTTACCAAAATTGCCTAAGAAAATGTATGGAAAACATTAATTAGTTGCGTTAAAAATTGACAAAATATCATTAAGATTATTTCAAAATGATTTAACTCAAAGGTAGACATAAAATATTGACAAATGTTTTACATTTTACACAATAAAATCAGAGAAATCATGCAACACTTAACTTCAGGCTTGTTTTGATATACATAAAATGTTTTATAGAAATAAAAAATAAAACTAAACCTTTAGACCTTTAAAGCCCTGACCCAAGGACTGGGACACGTGTCCATCCAGACCCCGTGTCCCTCGACCAGTGAACATGTGCAGACATTCTGCAGGTGAATGTAGAATTTTAAGAATCTCAACAGCACAAAAACAGTGCAATTATGTCATTTGTCATGGTTTTGCAGTTGTTTTGAACTGGTTTTGTGCGTCTGTAGTCGTTCCTCTCTGCTGTAATTTCAGCCGCATGTTTCTTATTTACATGTCTTGGTGGTTTTTTTCTTTACGTCTCACTGCGGTTGCTTTACACCACTTTAAAACGTGTTGCTGATTAAACACCAGCCGCTGGTTGTACTTCTTCAGACCGTAGGATACAGTGGAAGTAAAACTTCCAGCCAGTGAAATGTGGCAGGAATTTCAAATTCTGCTTTGAATTTACTGGCTGCGCTGTTTTCCCTGATATAAAACTATGCAAGAAATTTCAACTTCGTTCAAGTTTCCCTTTGTTTTTCTCATTTTATTCGACGGTGGTAGAACGAGGGCCCGGTTCTCTGCACTCACTTCAAATACTTTAGACAGAAAAGAACTGCAGGACAGAGAGCAGCTACACAGTGAACAATACAGCCTGCCTAAAACTTATGCACAGAAGTGAGATACAGCAGAAGTGAACAGCACTGGGAACGATGGCTGGTCCAAACTACGGCACTGGGAACGATGGCTGGTCCAAACTCTCCAAACATTATCTGCTCACAGAGACCCTGGGTATTTCCTGGGCTGTAGGTCTGGCTCTGGACCAGGGCGGCCCACGTCGACCCAGACGCAGTGATGTCACTGATTAGTCTTTTTAATCAGAGGTCAGAACGTTTGATCCTCCTGTGAGGTTCCTCCAACACTGAGGGGCTTTCATACCTCAGATTAGAACGCTGGCGTTTTCATCATTTGTCTGGACCGACCCATCGTTGCCTTGGACAAAGTCAAGAGGAAACATTTAAGTTTTATATTAGCTCACATCTGTCAGGGACACACTGTGGAACTAGTGGTTAGTGCTTTTGCCTAACAGCACAAAGGTCAAGGGTTCAATCCCTGGTCTTTTTACTTTAGGGTTGATTTGTGATCTCCACGTCAGTTCAGTTTCCTCCCACAACAACGTGAATGATTAGGTTCACTGTTCACGCTGAATTGAGCAAAGGTGTAAATGTGAGTGTGAATACAACAGTGGTGTCTTTCTACATGTAGCCATGTGAATGAGGGGTGAACTGTCTCGGGTTCTACTCCTGGCTCCAAGGGTTTGTGTCAGTGCTCTGTAAAACATCTGTGAGTTTCCAAACTCATTCGTGTACTCGCTGACAAACACTCGCAGCACAGTCTCGACCTGCCTCGGCGTTAACACATTTGCAGTTGGCAGTTGTTGAAAGGTCAGATTCCAGGCCCAGTGACCTGTGAGTATCTGCTCCAGAGATGCCGATCAGCTGCGGCCAAACGTCAGCGGGGACGTTTGTGAGACAAGGTTTCCACCGTGTTCCACCTGAAAGCTTCCAGATAAAACAAAGGAACAGAAACAAAATGAGTCTGTGATGATCGTGGCTCGTGATGGTCATTTTCCACCTGCTCTTGTTCAAGAAAGTCCTCGAGTTTCTGATCAACTATTTGGTGACTTGTTGTTAAAACAGCGTTTTTGCTGTGGATGAAATAATGTGGGATTTTGAGGATTGTAATTATTCTCACCGCAGCAGGAGTGATGTGACACGGAGGAAATGAGATGGATGGATGTGTGGAGTTCAACAAACACAGCAGAGTGTCCGGACCAGCCGTCTGGCTTTAATTTATTCTATATTCTGCAGCGCGGGGGATTATTGTTGACGGGAACATTAGTACTAATTGGGATCACGACCCGGCGGCTGCCGCTTCAAAACAAACACAGTCTGTGCTGAAACAACAGGCCGAGTGTGGAAGGCAGTGGCTGGGATCAGTGCCAGAGCCGACAACAGGCATTGTGTTTTAGGTTTAGCTTAACCAGCTCTATTAGGCTCCTGTCAGCGCCCCCTGCTGACATTGTCTGTGATCAATTCTGCTGTGCTGTACTGTCATTAACGGAACGCTTTAATGAGCCACACGTGTGTGTTTGTTTTGTTGCACTTTGGATTTTATGGATGCTCTCTTTTTGCATTAGAAGGAGGTCTGAATTGGAAACTATGACCCCTACGGGTCGATGGAGGTACTGTGCACATTGGTGATTTCTCTTTTTGGTTAATTAAACAATAAAAAATAATAAAATAATAATAATTTGTAAAATAAAAAAAGAAGATAAATAGGTAGAGTTGTTATTCCCTCAGTGGTCCAGTCATGATCAGTTGTTATTGTCATGTCAGTGCTACGTACAGATAAAAAGGAAACCACTGACACGGATGTCACATCTGCATCGTCACAGAGGACAGTATCAGCCGCTCGCAGCGTATCCTCACTCACACGCTCTCACGGTC